TTCTCCAGAAGGATGCTCCATGGAATTCAGTTGGGTATAGGCTCAAGTTAACGGACCTAACAGGCTCCAACAGAAATAAATTGGCAGGCAGGCTTGTCACGTTCAGCTCTGCTCTCCATTTTAAAGATTGCTGCTTTTAATTGGCACAGTCCTTTGAAGATTACATTTAAGTATTCACTGAAACCAGTGTTTTCTCAGTTCTCAGCATCCTCTGAGCCTCTGTGGCGCAGTAGTTAGAATGCAGTACTGCAACCTACTTCTGCTGCCTACTGGCTGCCTACAATTTGGCAGTTCAAATCCCACCAGGCTCAAGGTTTACTCAGCCTTCCATCCTTCCAAGGTGGATAAAATGAGGACCCAGATTGTTGGGGGCAATAGGCTGACTCTGCAAACTGCTTAGAGAGGGCTGTAAAGTGGTATATAAGTCTAAGTGCTATTGCTATCCTGGCTGGGAACTTTTGGGAGTTGAAGTTCACACATCTTAAAGTGGCCGAAATTGAGAAAGAGGGATCTAAACAGAACAGCAGGATAGATAGATAGATAGATAGATAGATAGATAGATAGATAGATATAAAGCTGTGCAATACTTAAATATTCTAGATGTCTTGGGTGCTGGAAAATATTTGACCATCACTTTGAACCTCAACCATCTCCCCCCCCGCCCCCCAATATCACTCGCAAGTGAGAAAAGAACCTTTGCTTGGTAGCGCTGCAGAGCCTCCTCCAAAAGCCGAGCCCGGTTCTGTACCTCCTCCTGTTTGGCCAGTATCTGAGGCACAGCCCCCTTGATAGCCTCTACCTGCTGCTGGTAATCTGCTTTGAGTGCCTTCCATTGCTTTTTGGCTTCTTCCATCTCTTTCCCTGCAAGAGACCACCATCTGTTTTTGAGCACTGAAGTAGCTCAGGAGCATCCAGATGTCAGCTGGGTTTATCAAACTACCCATAACCAAGAGAGATACATTGGTGGAAAATAACATTCTTAACAAGATGGGGCTATTGAGGCCTGTCATGTAGTTCCTTTAAAAAAAAATCAGAAAATAAAATACAAGCTGGATAGTCAAGACCTTGTTTATGATCCAAACTCTGTCAAGGACCTTGGAGTACTCATCTCTAATGACCTAAGTGCTAGAGCCCACTGTAACTACATAGCCAAAAAGGCGTTAAGAGTTGTTAACCTAATATTACATAGCTTTTTCTCTGGTAATATTACACTACTAACTAGGGCTTACAAAACATTTGCTAGACCAATACTGGAATAAAGCTCATCAGTCTGGAACCCGCATTACGTATCTGATATTAACACAGTTGAGAAAGTCCAGAAATATTTCACAAGAAGAGTTCTCTACTCATTGCAGAATACTTTATGCCACCGGACTTGAAATTCTAGACCTAGAAAACCTAGAACTACGCCGCCTTCAGTCCGATCTAAGTATAGTATATAAAATTCTATATTGCAATGTCCTACCTGTCAATGAATACTTCAGCTTCAACCATAACAATACAAGAGCAAACAATAGATATAAACTCAAGGTAAACCGCACCAAACTTGATTGCGGGAAATACAACTTCAGCAACAGAGTGATCAATGTCTGGAATACTCTACCTGACTCTGTGGTTTCTTCCCCAAACCCCAAAAACATTAACTTTAGACTGTCTACTATTGACCTCACCCCTTTCCTAAGAGGTCTGCAGGGGGCGTGCATAAGCGCACCAACGTGCCTACCATCCCTGTCCTATTGTTTCTTTTTTCTTTTTCTTATATGTATCCATTTCATGTATCCATAACTATGTTTATACTTATACCTGTTATCTTATAATTGCTTGACAAATAAAATAAAAAAATAAAATATTTCTGATAACAGAAGCAGTACATTTCTCAGTTTGCTGGGTAGAATGCTACTGCTTTCTTGACTGCTTGGGACTTCACAAAAGGATTTGACTGGCCAGCAAAGAAACAAAATTTTGAACGAGAGAAGCCTGTCATATGATCCAGAATGGATCTTCTCACAGACATGCTTCCAATCTTCCAGGAAGGATTGGATGTTCATTTAGTCAGGGTTAAATCAACATGTATAATATGTGAACGCACAACAGTTGAATAAAAGTACACACAACTTGCTCAAAACCTTTCCTAGTCCTCCAAAATTGTCTTGAAAGGCTTCATTTTTAACGTGCTATTGTCAAACAGAAACACTCTTATCCAGACCACATTTGCATCACCCACTGCATGCAATCTGCTGAGCCCGGATACTCACGAACAGTAGAGTCAGAGGCATCCTGGATGCGAGGGGCAGAGTCAAGAAAATCCAGAAGGAATTTAAGCACTTGGAGTTGGGTGTACATCAACTTCTGAGTCTTCCTAGTGTTCTGGAAAACATGTTCCAAAAGTGGGAATGGAACTAGCTCTTACGAAACTTGGGCACGGTCATGCATCCAGAACTGAAGACAGTATCTTAAAGGAAAAAGAGGCTATCACTCACCACTGCGTGCTCAGCCAAGACTTGGGCTGGTAATTCCAATTTCATTTCACTTGTGGTTTGATCCTCATACTTTAAAATATCATTGATCTGAGATAGAAGCCTGAAGAGGACACATAAATGAATGATATAAAGAAAATAGTCACTTCAAATCTTTAAATCTCTTAAACATTTGCTATAGGGATTCTCTAAACCAGGGGTCTTCAAACTTGACAGCTTGAAGACCTGTGGACTTCAACTCCCAGAATTCCTCTTCTGGTCATGTTAGCTCAAGAATTCTGGGAGCTGAAATCAAGTCTTAAATTTGCCAAGTTTGAAGACCCTTGTTCTATACAATCACCATCCTTTACATATGGAAACAAAGGCCATATAGTGTATGGCACCTCATCACATATGTGGGTGAGGCAGGATTTCTGTGATTTATCTACTTGAGGATTTAAAACTGTAATATGTCCTCATGCATTAATATGGCAGGAAAATGTGCTGTTAGTTTTCAGCAATTATGGCCAGAGGAACCTCTGAGGAAGTCAAAAAGAGCTGGGAAAAACCATGCAGATTGTCTACTACTGTTCTCATGCATTAGATGTCACGCTTGCCACATTCTAACTGAAAGCAAAATCTAGAATATAATTTACACTATCCAGTGATTGCACAATGTACTAAGCATATGCAACAAGGAAACTTGTCTGTCCATATTCCCAATGTCATTGTGAAATTCCCAGCCAGCTTCTGAGGAAGGTTCACTCTACTAAAAAAAAACGGATTAACATATTTTCTTTAAAAATGCAGTAGCTAAAACTGTTTTTCACAAACAACTGGAAAAATATCAGAATACAGAATATCAGAATTGAAAGGGACTTTGGAGGTCTTCTATTCCAACTCCTTGCACAAGAGGATATTCTGGACAAATGGTGATCTAATCTCTTAGATTAATTTATCTCATTGCCAGAAAATTTCTGTTTAGTTCTTTTAGTTGAATCTTCCCTTGATAAATTTCCATCTATTGCTTCTTGTCCTGCCTTCAGGTGTTTGGGAGAATACCTTGACCCGTTCTTCTTGGTCACAGCCCCTCAAATATTGGAAAACTGCTGATTGGAAGAATCAAAGAGATCTTTTCCTTTATAATTGTGGCATTTCTCATTTCTACAAAATGCTACCTGTATCTCATTGTGAAAATAGGTGGAAAAAACAGTTCTGAGGCCACTTAACAATCCCAAAGCTATTGCAAGAAGAGAATACCAAAATATTAATGCTGTAATTTTAAGAGGATTAAATTATACTAATTTAATTAGATGAATGTAATGGAAGCAAAATAAACCTAATATAACTGATGCTTGATTTTTTTTAAAAAAGTAGTTTCTGCAAGAAATTTTGTAAAGATTTTAATGGAGATGTTGGCTTTTTTTCTTCTGCAACGGGATTAAAGATTCAAAGACTATTAAAGAATTCTTCCTGTTCTAAAAATAGGAGGAAGTATTATTCACAAGACCCCAAGGAATTTTATTTTTCTACAGGAAGTGTGTTTTTTTAAAGTTCCATCAAGTATCAAAGTTATGAAACTCCATATCTGTATTCTGGTGCTAGAAGTTTCAATATCTCCTTATCTAAGGGAGGTGATCCCAACGATATTTCGGTGCCAATCTCCATAATCTTACTAAGGAAGGAAGGCTCCCAAATGCGGCAGGAGTATATATATGGAAACCAGACATAGAAGAACGGAAGCCCTCTAAACCCACAACCTAAACTTGCCTAACTCTTTCGGCCTCTCTTCTGCAAGCTTATCAATGCTTCTCAACTTTGGGAACTTCAAGATCTACGGATTTCCAACTCCCAGAATTGTCAGACGGGAATTCCTGGCTGGGAATTCTGGGAGCCGAACTTCACACATCTTGAAGTTGCCATGGTTGCAATAGCACTGCTTTTCATTTTTTTTTCTACTTCGGGTAAAATTCCTCCCCCTGCAGGAAAACGGAACCGTCATTCGATCTCCACGCGAAAGAGATACGTGTACTTACTCCACCGCTGTCGCTTCCGCCTCCATCGTTTCTCCAACCGCAGCGTCCACGGACGATCGACTCATTGTTTAGAACTTCCCGCCTTTTTTTCAATGACTCTTCTTCCCAGAGCGTCCCGCCGAACTCACCAATCCGAGCTCGAAAGGCTAATAGGCCCCGCCCAGAAGATAGGTCCGCCCCAGGAGACCAAGCAAAGCTGGCTGAGGAATTCTGGGAGTTGAAGTCCACAAATCTTAAAAGTTACCAAGGTTGGAGACCCCTGATCTAAACCACATTTTACATACAACTCAGCTGTACGTATAGTTTTAAAGTCCCCAGTTGTATATAAATCAAAGCATGCGTTAAGTTTCAGACTTCCTCAATCAGCTGTTCTCTATATACTGTGGACTGCAAATCCCATAGAGGCTGGGTGGAAGTGCTTAGCCCTAGTCGAATCCCTCAGGAAGAGATCTATTTGGAAGAATCTGGTTTACTCCCTGTCAAAAGGGCATGGAATTACTGGCTCTCCGTGTTTCTTGCTGGAAAATAAGCATTGAACTCAGTTTTTGACTCTAAGACACAATGTGTAAACTTTAGTTATACCTTTGCCTTTCTGAGGATCTAAAGTGCTGGCGGATAAATGCTGAAAAGCAATGAGACTGTGTTTCTGAAAAAGTGGGAAAAGGAGTGGTTCACTAAAGAAACAGGATGGGTGGAGCTGTAGTTTAATAGAGCTAGTCGGGTACTCCAGTCAAGACAGAAGTTACATGAGGAATGAAGTTGGGCTTCTTTTCTCCTGGTATTTTGAAAACAACTCCACCCTCTCTATAAAGGCGCAGATTGCAACCTAGCAGGGAGTGCGGTTTCCCCTGGAATCTGAACCAGCCATGGCTGGGACACTGGAGAAGCAGAAGAGTAACCTGAGTGGCAGTAGCTGTGACATCCGAGGCTGGAGGAAATTTCAGTAAGTTCCTTATGAGATCGTGCGGTCTCAAATGCGATCTCTGCCAAGCTTTGCGGAAGTAGCTTGCCACGATTGGCTCCCTGATATCTATATCTATCTTTGTGTTTGCATGTAAAGCTTGGCATTTCTCAGGTGTGGACCACTGGTCACAGCTCTACTTCGTCGATAGGCAAAGAGTAGTGTATAGATCGTGTAAGTAGATCGTAGATCATGTAGAAGATCGTGCTTCCTTGTTTTCCTCCGGAGGGCGGCCATTCACCCAAAGGTGAAAATAATTTTAAGAGGAATATGCATAACTTGTAGCCTTGTGAATCATGCCCGTCCCTCTCGGGATCTGTTCCTTGGCTTATCTGCTGTCACTGTTTCGGGGAGGCGCGCAACCACGATTACAGTTACTCCTAACTTCCACCTCGCTCGCTCGCTCCTACTGAGCCTCCGATCTTCCTTGGCGCGCCCAGAGGATGGGAATGGAGATGCCCGCATGCGCCGCCGCCGCCGCCGGCCTGAAGCCATCCGGACTCCGCCTCCCTCCCTCTTTTTTTCCTTCCGATGTTTTCCCTGCCGCCGCCAGCACAACCACCACCACCGGCATCCCCGCGAAACCGGGAGCCGCTTCAGGTACGATCCTGATACAACTGTCCCGAAACCTTTCAGATTGCAGCTCTTCCCCGGCTGCTGATTTTTTCCGCAGGCACCCCATAATAGACAGCCCGGGCCCTGTCGCCATGGAAACGAGACAGTCTTGATGCTTCTCCATCGTCTTTTGGCCTCTCTTTTCTAATGTTGTGGTCACCATGGAGACCTGGTGGTTTTTGCCTCCCTTGGAAGGTGTGTTCCCTCCCGATCCTCTTCGCTTCTCTTCCGAGGGGTGGGGTGGGGTGGGGGTGGGGAACCCTGACTCCATTCAAAAGCATCGCTCCTTCCTTCCCTCTTCCATCTAATGGGATTGCCATGATTGTCTTGCCCTGTAACATTCCTTGAGCATGATTCCATTTTTCTCCTGCTCCCCCAATAGACAGACCACTGTAGAGCGTTATCTGTCATTGGTAGAATAATAACATGATAGAGGATCGGCCCTTTTGCCAACCTCTGTCGTTCGGGCTGCTTTAGGGCAATCTTTCTGACAAAAATAGGACGCTATTTGGAGAGAGGTGAAGAAATGGTAGAACTCACACAAGGCCCTGTGTCTGTGGAGGCTTGGATTTGGCTAATTGACATATGCTGTTGTGGTGTGAAGGTCACTGGAGTGCGGGTTCTCTAATGCAGTCTTCCAAACCTGAGTCCTCCAGATGTATTAGATCAATATTCATAAATGCAGAAGAGAGAGGGCAGGCCTGAATCAGTTTCCTTACTGCTGTTCTGGAATCATGAAAAAAATGTCAGGCCTTCTTTTACTTCTATGTTGTAGTTGCCAGTATGTGAAAAAAGATATCCCTGCTCAATTTAAAATCTAACATGGGGTGAAGGTGAGGGTGGGAATGTGCAGTTATGATTAAGTCTGTGATTTACAACTGGCATTCAGCAGAAAATCTGAATATATATAGATATAGATGTGTGTGTGTGTGAGAGAGAGAGAGAGAGATTTGTTGACATTTGTTCATCAGAGCCTGCTGTTGAACTCTTATAATGCATTGGGATGTATATTTTCTGTACACTCAGACTGTTGTCTGTACTTAAATTTATCAGCCTTGTTATATCAGCCTATCAGATCTGGCAGAGTAGGTATGCTGCATAGGGACCATTGGCTATGAACCTACATTTGGTGGGTCCCAGGAGATGTACTTTCTCTGTTGTTGTGCCCATTTCATGGAATATTCCCCCTCCCCAAATTAGATCAGCTCTGCCCCTTTTGATATTCCAAAAAGTTCTCAACACCTGACTATGTTATCAGGCCTGGGACTTCCAGGCAACCTAGCTTAGATTTGCTTGGCTCCAGTGTTGAGATGGCCATGTTTAGCCTTCTTCCTCTACCTATGGTTTATATCTCTGGCTTCTATTATTTGTTTTAATATGGATGTTTATATTTTATATTTGATAGTTTTACCTCTGTTGTTTTTATCAAATTATTTGTATTCTGCCCAGAATTGATTTGGTGAGGTAGGTTACTATATAAATTTGATAAATTTATAACAAAATTTAAAGATGGCTGAATACATGAATACATGCATTTGATCCTAGCGATTTGTAGAGCTGAAACCCTGCACGTTGAAAAATGGAACTTTATTATGCTGTTTCCTATTGTAAACCCATCTCTGACCCTTAAGTTCTTTGTACTCTTCTGACTGCAGGCACCCAGTTACCAGCTCCCCTGAGTGGCCGGTGGCGGTGTGGGGCATGGCAGCAGTGTGGCAACAAGTGTTGGCTGTAGATGCACGGTGAGGCTCCTAGGTTGGATGTATAGGTTGCTTTAGCAACGAGGAAAAGGGAATATGCCAGTATAGTGTAGTGCAGGGCTGTCAAACTCGCGACCCACAAGCCAGATGCATCACATACTGGCCACGCCCATGCCTGGTTTAGCAAAGGGAAAAAGTCGCGATACGTCCATGATGACTCCCTGAAGATGCAAGTTTGACACTTCTGGTGTAATGGTTAAGATGCTGTATTGGCATCAAGTGGGACCCAGGCTCATGTACTTTGAGCCATGAAACCTCCTATAGATTTAGTTGTTCTCTCTCCACCCACCTACCTCACAGGATAGTTATTATGGAGTGAATTGGGAGAACTATCTATAGTATCTTGAGCTTCTGAACAAAAAATGCAAGATACAGTTCTAGCATACATGTTTACAAATAAGTCAAGTGTATGGGAGAGGTTGTTCTTAGCTGCTGTTCAGAGAAGTACATTGAGAACACAGCTTCATAAATCTTGAGATTTTATTCCTATGAACTGATTATAGTTTAGCACTATGAGTTTAGGAATTAATGTTGAGGATATGACCTGAGAAATGAGGAAAAAGCTCTCTGCCATCTTGATTTTTGAGAACAATTTGTTATTGTTTGAGAGAGGGAAGATTTACCTGATGGGGAAGGAGTAAGGAAGGAACTTTATTCTAAATCAGTGTTTTTCATTTAATGGACTTAAATGCATACTGACATGTGATTACAGCACAGTACTGAGATGAGCATAGGACTTTGTGCTGCAGAGAATTTTACACTCTCGATTAGGGGAAACTCAGAATGATGCTAAGCAAAAGAGAAGGTTAAATTCAACAAGGATACTATTGGCTGAGGTTTCTGGCAGCTAATGCATCATCTTGTCTTGCAGATATAACGCATACCGCACCCCAAACTTCCCTCAGTTCCGTACACAATACATCCGCAGACGAAGCCAGTTGCTGCGGGATAACGCTAAAGCAGGCTTCGATCCCTTGCTTCGTAAGCAATACCTGCGGCTACGCAGTCAGCTTCTGGCCCAGCGCTACGGCCCACTCTCAGAACAGAGCAGCTTTCGAGCCTACAGCAACAGCATCGTCCGAAGCAGTCGCACTACACTTGATCGCATGGAGGTACTCGGGTTTTTGCATGTTACAAATCAGGGGTGTCAAACTGGTGGCCTACGGGTCGGATGTGTCATATGCAGGCCACACCCACCCCAGCTCTGCAAATGGGGAAAACGTCCCAAATGTCACGTGACAGCAACGTGACACCACGAGTTTGACATCTGTGTTATAAATAATCTGATGGTAATCAGTTCAGTATATCTGACAGGGATAGACAAGAATTGGGGAGATGAAAGGATGAGAGAGAATTTGTCAATACCATGTTACCTAATATAGCACTGAAGTTTCATTGCTATTGTTTCCAATCCAGTATCCCTAGGGACAAGCTTGGCCGTTTCTTCCCTTCACATAGTGTTCCTCTGCATTGTGTCCCCCAAGAACTTTCTGTCTTAAAATGTAAAAATTATGTGTTGTAACAATAGGATTTTGATGATGACCCAAGAGCACTGGGTGCCCGAGGCCACCGCCGCTCTGTCAGCCGAGGTTCCTATCAGCTGCAAGCTCAAATGAACCGAGCCGTCTACGATGAAAGGTATAACCCCAGCTATAGAAAAAGGCCCCGTGTTCCTGTCAGTTCTGCTCACTTCCCTCGTGTTACTTTTTTGCAAGTTTTAATCAGAAAAGGTTGGTGATGGCCAATGTTGTCACTCTGGTGCATTTAATCAAAGAATAAAGGTTCTTTGGTTTTGTCTTGTCTCAGCCCCATTTCTGTTGAAAATTAAGTTCATGATCTGTTTATATCAGTTTATATTATTCTCTTCCTTAGATCACCAGGGAGTGTTGTCCCCACTTCAGTGGCAGAAGCTAGTCGCGCTATGGCTGGAGATACTACACTAAGTGAGAACTATGCCTTTGCTGGCATGTATCATATCTTTGACCAGCACGTGGATGAAGCAGGTGAGTAGAGGAAGAATATAGCAATCAATCACATAAGCCCTTCATGGCTTGGGACCAGGTTATCTGAGGGACTGTCTCTTGCTGGTCACATGTACCCGACCCATCAGAATGGGGAGGCAGGGAATGTGGCGGGTCCCATCCCTGAGGGAGATACACCTGGTGGGACCCAGAAGAAGGGCCTTCTCCATGATGGCTCCCTCTCTCTGAAACATCATTCCCCCAGAGATTAAAATGGCCCCCTCTCTAATACTCTTCCAGAAGGCACTGAAAATCTGGTTCTGCCAGGGGTCCTGGGGAACCCAGAGTGGGATGGAGCCCATCAAATGGCTCGTGTGAGCTGTTGTTGTCGGGGCATGGGGTGGGAGTTGGGGGGTGATTTTTTTTTTCAGATTTTGTTCTATTGTACTTTATTAATTTATTTGATTCTTTTTGTTAGTTTTTATTGTTTTTTGTTTTTTAAATATGGTTTTACATTCTGTAAGCCGCCTCGAGTCGCCATGGGTGAATAGGGGGCAATATAAATTCAATAAATAAATAAAGGCTCTGCTAAGCCTTTTCCTTCTGTCTGTCAACACAGACAGGGCATGTATATTATTATTTGCAAAAGAAAAATTGATGCTAAGTTCTGATCAAATCCCTTATCCCCAAAAGAGGTTATGACTCTTGCCTTTTGGGGGGAATAAGAGTAAGAACTATGTGAAATGGAATATTGAGATAGACTTTGTAATAGCTGTGCCCAAATTTCCATTGCTGTCCAGAATCTTCAGCGGTAGCCACATTAGTTGAGGAAGGTTAACATCAAGATGGCCATCAATGCTGCTAAGTCCATGCTTAAGATATTGAAGTCTGATCATTTAACAGAGTGCCCTCTTTGTCCCACTATACGACTCAAAATATTCCTCAATCAATTTGATAATGGTGTTGATGCTAGAATAGCATAAGAAAAATCCAGAATAATGTACAAGACTCCAGATAGTCCAGTATCAATCTAATGAGTTTTCTCTTCCCCTTCTCAGTGCCTAAAGTCCAGTTTGCCAACGACGACAAACACCTACTAGCCTGCTGCTCTTTAGATGGCGCCATTTCGGTGTGTCAGTTAGTACCCACTCCCCCTGTGGTGCTTCGAGTGTTGAAAGGACATAGCCGTGGTGTATCGGACTTTGCTTGGTCTCTCTCCAATGACGTTATAGTTTCTACTTCACTTGATGCCACAATGCGCATTTGGGCTACAGAGGATGGCAAGTGTATCCGGGAAATCCCAGATCCAGATGCTTCTGAGCTACTTTGCTGTACTTTTCAACCTATGAATAATAATCTCACAGTGGTGAGTGAAGTAACAGTGATACACTTTTTTCCCCCTCTCCTGAGTATGTATTGTGAGATATTGGGCCTTTGTCATTCCAGAAACACTAGCTTATATTCAGCTGGAGTTTATTTACTCAACTTTTATTCCCATAAAGTTGAGTAATAAACAGCTAAATAATGACGCAGCTGACTGGACAAAGTGGCATTCAATGATCCGAAAAGCGGACCCTGCACCTGTGGGAATATGCTAGGAACAAGATATTCTTATTTTTCTCTAATGTAAGAGAGGGGATAGAAGAGAAAAGGAGCCTAGTTATAAAAAGTTAAACATTAAATTACCCCTCCCCTAACTTAATCCTTCTCTGTTATGAAGATAGGGGTGGGGTGTTGCAAGGGTTAGTTTCAATTCTAATTCCATTTACAGGGAGCCTGGACATCACAATCATAACTTCTGACAGTTGTAATCACGTGACCAACCTGATTTTACAACTTTTTTGTGGTGGTCATTAAGAGAATCACCATGATCTTTAAGTGAATCACAGTTGTTAAGCGAATGCAGCAGTCATTAAGTGAACTATGGTTCACTATGATTGAGGTTTGGCTGAAAGTGAAGTAAATGCTGGTTTGGGGCAAAAACATCGTAAAATGTGACCACATGACTGTAGATGCTTTAGAACCCCCAAAGTTAGGTCACATAAATGGAAGGTGGGGAACCTAATCATTGGAATTCCAAATCCAGGTCATAAGTACCTCCCAGGTAGGTCCTTTGAAACTTCAGACAATTGCTAAGCAGCCAGTTATTAGGACTTCCTGTATGTTACTGGTTCCTATTTTACTTCGTGCAAGCTACAAAAAATAATTTATCCATCCATCAGGTGGGAAATGGAAAACACAACCTTCATGTGATGAACATCTCAACAGGGAAAAAAGTGAAGGGTGGCTCAAGCAAACTAACAGGCCGAGTCCTCTCTCTCTCCTTTGATTCTCCTGGGCGTATCCTCTGGGCAGGAGATGACAAAGGCAGCATATTCTCATTCCTCTTTGACATGGCAACAGGTGAGTTCCCAAGAGGATCTTGCAGAGGACAGGCTGCAGCCCAGTTTGGATCGGACAGTTTCTGCTTCATTTCATTTTTTGCAGGAAAACTGACCAAAGCCAAGCGCCTCATAGTTAATGAAGGAAGTTCTATCACCAGTATCTCAGCCCGTTCCTGGATCAGCAGAGAAGCACGTGATCCCTCTCTCCTCATTAATGCATGTATTAACAAGCTATTATTATATAGGTATGATGCTCTTGCGCCAAAAGAAGTGATTTATTTGTATATGCAGAATATTAATAAATCCCATTTAATCTATGCATATATGTATTTATGCTTACACCATTCCTTTTACTTTTCCTGACAGGGTAGTGGATAATGAAGGAACATTGCAGCTGAAGAGAAGTTTCCAAATACAACAGAGCTCACATCCTGTCCACAGCATTTTCTGCCCCCTCATGTCTTTTCGTCAAGGCGCTTGCATTGGTATGATTCTTGTATGGCCATTCTGTAATTGGAAAAAGAATGTAGTAGAGCCAGTTCTTTGCAGCTTCTTAAAGCCCCATGCTTTTGATGTTTTCCATTGCGCATGATTTCCTCTAATACAGAGTTAAAAGGAATTGAAGACCCCTCCTTTATTAAAGGCCTATATTTAATGAAGGTTTTATTCTAATCATTTATTTTTGTGCATTTCAGTGACTGGAAGTGAAGATATGTGTGTGTATTTCTTTGATGTGGAACGGGCTACCAAAGCTATCGTTAACAAACTTCAAGGACATAGCGCTGCAGTCTTGGATGTCAGCTTTAACTGTGATGAGAGTCTCTTGGCATCCAGTGATGCCAAAGGCATGGTGATTGTCTGGAAAAGAGAACAGAAGTAGCATATTTTCCTGTGATAAGTTAAAGGAGAAACACATACAAGACGCTGCTTTGAGGACAACGGACAAAGAGGATTAAAAGATCCAATCTTTCTTCCAATTGTTGGTTTATGTCTTCTTCATCCTGGAACATACTGCACATACTTCCATAATACAGTGAGACCACTGCTGTTGTCCTTTTCAGTTGGTGAGATTTTGTACAAAGCTTACAAAGGATTCCACTTAACCCTGTGAAATGTGGCTTAATGGATTTCACCATTCAGATAACTGTTCTTTTGATGAAAGAGAATGTGATCAATTGTGCTACAGGAAGTGGTTATGAATTGGCATAATAAAATTTAAGACCTCAAGGATTCTTTTCTAATTCAAGAATGTGAAACCTAATTTAGTCTCAGTCCTGTCTTTTCCTAGATAGCATGAAACTACTTTACTATATGAAGAGTGCTCAATTTCCTCCTGGAAATATATTTTGCACAGTATGGGTTAAAGTATCACTCACTACAATATAACACAAGATATCAAAGATGAAGAAAATCAACCTGTGTTAATTGAATTTATGGACTTCAGCATTAAATTTGTGCATAGACTGCTCTTCAATATAGAATTTATGTAGTAGGATATTTGCTTTAGCGTGTTTTTCAAAAGTTGACTTAGTACTTTCTTAATATAACCTTTGTGTATGAAAGCCACGGATATGAACACAGCATTTAATGTCTAGTAAGCCTTCTGGAATCTACCAAAATAATTAGCATATTCCTGATACCACACAAATGAGTTTTCTTAGAAATGAAGTTCTGAAACGGGTCTACTTAAATTGCAAAATGCTTTTTTGTTACATCTTTCACAGCATGCATGAAACTGGGGTATAAGAGGGAGGGTTGTTGTATTAAACTTTCTGTATTGTGGCTATTACAATTTTTCTTTGGCTTTGTTCTCTTCTGTGCATAAGAAACTCTAAATTAACTGTCACTGAAAAAATTGCAATGGTATTTAATCATAGGTTTTTCAGGCAGGTACCTGGCAGAAAGGAATAGATTTGAGAGATATAGTAGTACAATTAAGTAATCTTATCAAGAAGCATGGATTGAGCTAAGGGGATTGTATCCATGGACATGCAAGCCAGTCACATCTTTGTAGTAAGGAAATTGCAAGGCGTTAGGCAGAATTGACAGATTTTTGAGTACAGTTGAGAGGATTAAGAGATTATTACATGGTAATGGTGTCTGAAATGCATAAATCAGTTTAGCTCTAAAGGAAAGCTATGTTAGGTGGAAAAAATATAAAGTTAACAATGTAAAGTAGCATGAGACTTTCAAATAAACTAGGTATGTTTAGGTAAAGGTATGTTTTTTTAACATTACAGCTGTATTTCTAATAAAGTGTAACTGCAGTCTACCATTTAAACTGCTCTTAAATTATGACTGGTTATCTTTCTTGGGATTTGGGGGAGGGTCATCAATGGTGTATTGCTTCAGAAGTATTGTATTGAGTAGGTGAATGTTCACCCCATGACAGTCACTGTATAATCTTTGTTTTATCTGTCTTAATGGACCAACTGTACAATATTCTGTGTACATAATACATACCAGAAAACAAAAGCACAAGAAGAAATCAGTGGTGCCCTTAGTTGGAGAGGATGTACTCAGAATTACATCACAAGGTCTGCTGATAGCATAAGTTACTATAACCAATGGTGATTTATCTTCAACAACAGCATAATTTCTTTTCCAAGTAATATAAAATGATAGCTCTCACACACCTCATGGAAGCAAATTCTACAATGCAATGTGTTAAAAATCTAATGATTACGTTCACACATGCTAAGGTTGGTAATGTTTAGCCATGGTTAATGTCACCATGACTTAACCAAACCAGGCTATTTGATTAGTTTATACTGTATTTCAGTATATTGTACAACTCTAGAATAGAGAGAATTATATAAACCCAGTCACCTGCCCTAAATATCCTGCCTCTCAGGGTTTTAATTCTGAGATGGGGCTATCTCTATTCAAGTTTCTTTATTCCATAAAGAATGTTAATTCTGATTACATGTATGTAAAATGTTTGAGATTTTAAACAAGTAATCCTAACCTTATCAGAAGTCTGGTGATGTTCCAACCTGGAAGTTTCAAAATTGGAACTTTTGCAGAATGATCAGAATAGCATCAAAAAGCTATTTCAAGTATGAAAACATTTCAAACTCAAAATGTTTGCAGAGTATTAGTTTTGCTTTTTTTTTTTGCAGATTTAAAACCCTCTATATATTTCATTCTTCCTCTAACTTCTCTTTAATACAGGTATCCAACTCCCTAATTATCTTTTTGTGCATCAATTGTTAATATACTTCTCCAAGATAATAGAAATCAGTATTTATTTTAAATAATATGGTCAAATTATTTTTGAAAAGGATTATTTTCTGTGAACTTGGATATACCACAAAAGTATGTTAATGATTATGCATATGTACGATGCTGCTTTAATCAAGGCAAGCAGGTGTATGCCTGTCATGACTTAATTCTTATAGTCTCCAAGCTCTAAAACTATTGTTGAATTTCAGCAGTACAAAAATCAGGTTTTTTTCTTCTTTTAATGAATTAAAACTGTAAAATATATTGAACTTCTTGTGGACATAATGCATCTATTTAAAACAGTTCCCTTTATCACCACCCCCTGCAAAAGTGTGGCATTTCAGCCTTAATTCCTCTGCTGAAAATTCTGCATTACTATCATTCCCAAAGGTTTTTTTTTTTTTAAGTAAGAAGTATAGTCCCCAATAAGGAAAATGTGACTAACTATTAAAATGATTGTACTCCGATACAGATAATAAATTACACCCAAATATTTAATATTTGTAAAAAAAAAACTATTAACATGTACTCACATTTTGCTACTCTTTTTGAATGCAGTTGGTGAGTTGCTTAAACAGCTAAGTCCAGGCTCTCATTTGAAAAAAGATCATCCCTGAAATGTTTTTCTTTGTATACCTTTTACATTAAATACAAATATTCAAAAGAACACTGAGATCTAGTATCCTTATTTTCCCTAACTTCTATAGGGGAAATACATCTTGAACAGTTTTAAGCATCCCATTTTATTTGTTTATTATTTTCTTCCTAAGAGGCTCAAGCAGCAAAAGTTTTATCACTCACTGTTTCAAAACAAAAACAGCATTTTAAATGTTAATGTAATCAGCAGAAGCCTGAATAGATTTTTCAAGAAATCTTGTCAGACTGAGCTTATTTTGGGTTGGAGTGGGGGGGTTGGTGTTGGTATATTTTTATCCAGTTATAATATAGGGGAATGGAGAACGTTTCATATATATCTTGATTTCAGTAAAGCATTTAAACTATCACATAACATTCTTATTAATACACTAGATAAGTATGAACTAGGTGCAGTGTTTAAGGAGGCTAACAGCAGGTCCTTAAAACTAAACCAGAAGTGAAGTACAAAATGAGGGCTGCAGGGTTAAGTCCTCGGCCAGGAACACATCAACCATTTTGGCAATTATTTTGAACAAAGAGATAGACTGAACATTCACCAAATTTACAAATGAAATGAAACTGGGAGGGAGAGCTAATATTCTATAATATAGAAACATGTCATTATTTAAGAAAACTCAAATTAACCAGAGCAGGATAAGGAACTCTTGGTATAGCATTAGTATGTGCAAAATGGGTCTTGGAAGTGGAAATGATATCAATCAGTCATGTAGCTGCAAAAGGGAAACATTTCATATTGCTTCAGTAGAATATAATTTTCAGATCTCACAAATAATAGTGCAGATCTGTATCCTTTTCTGTGCACTTAAAAGGTTTAGATACATTGGAACAAGTGCAAAAAGATATAAAGATGATCAGGGCAGTAAAAATGGGTCTACAGGGTGATAATAAAGAGTGAGTAAATGTTTAGTTTTCAAAAAGTGACAGCAGTTATAATTGTTATCCCTTGTGATATTTGGAGTATGCTAATAAATGGTCATAATCTGTTCTTAGTTGTCCCAAAGAAAAAGAACCTGAAATAATTGGTCTAAAATTACCAGAAGACATTTTCCAGTTGAAGTGTCAGAAAAACTTCCTAAAGGGCATTCAAAAATGAAAACTTCTGGTTTGAAGGGCTTCGGCGACAGACAGGACTCCGTGATCGTGCGTGGTTTCTGCCTGGGCTCGCCGCTAGAGCACCTCGAGCGGCTGGTTTCGGGGCTAAGCCACCCTGTAGAGGTGGTGAAGAAGGGGGAGACTGCCAGCAGGGTCAAGGAGAGCCGCATCTCTTCTCCTCAGCTGGTCAAACTCCCTTTCCTGAAGGCGGTAGGAGTGGTGGTCAGAAATGGCCACCTCAAAGAAGCACTCAACTGGAAAAGAACGTGCAGGAGGAAGTTAAGAAGTGAAAGTTTTGGCTGACCGGGCTAAGTTGAAAAAGCAATAACTTAGGTACCCTGGAATTTAAATTTTACAAGAAATAACATCGCTCCCAAAGAAGAGTTGGAAGCAGCAAAAGAAAGTGAAAAGGGAAAAGGTTTGGCTTTTTTCTTCTTCTCTCTCCTTCCTTATATTGACAATTAAGAATAAGAAATTGGAAAAATCCGCTTTGGCATCAACAGGCAATTAAGCTGAAAATATAACTAAATGCCAAAGAGACAATAAAGATTTCTGGACATTAAAACCTTTTTCTTCTATTAGTAGGAAGGGAGAGAAAAAGAATAAGGGCAGGATCTGGAAGAGGGAGGGGACTGCCTGGACTTTAAAAGAATCTAAAGTAAAACTTCAGTAAGACTTCTAAAAGATACATTTTAACTGAAACTGCAACTAAATAGTAACTCCGGGAAGAGAAAGTGGGGAAAAAAAGAAAGAGCAAAAAGAAACAGTTCGTGTGCATTTGGATTACTTCGTGACTTTGGGATTTTTGGCTATTATATTTGAATGACTAAAATCAATCGGGTGGTTGTTTAAATTTTTTTACAATGGCATCACTTTTTGATGAATTGAAAATGGAACTTAAAAAGTACAAAGAAGAGGCACAAGAAGGGAAGGGTTCCTTTGGCTTCGTTTTTCAATTCTTAGAAATGGAGATTTGGAACTATGAGAAACAACAAGACTGCAAAACAAGAAGACTGGGACAAAGAAGAAGCCATCTTTAACGAACAAGTAACTCTATGTGGGGAAGAAAAAAGAAAGGGGGGAAAGAGGATGGAGAATTTAAGATTTAAAAAAACAACCAAAGAAAAGAAAAATAATTCAAAAAACAAGTATAATACTGGAAAACAACAGAAAAGGGGAATACAGAAGAGGGAAGTAGAGATAGAGAGACAAAGGGGTAAAAAGGGGAGAGAGAAGAGAGGGAAGAAGGAAAGGAAAAGAAGTCACAACGGTCCGGAACAAGATATAAAGAAACAGGACCTATTTAGAGATAATGGGTAAAAATTTAACTGAAAGGAGGATTCTGTAAAGGTACATGAGATTGTGTTGTTATATTTGAAATAGAAATAACTTTAGAAAATTGGAAACAACATATGATTAAAATGAGGGATAGAATGGTTAATGTAACTTAGTGAAATGTTTGTGAATAAAGTAAATGAAATAAAATAAATGAGAAAATTGAATTGGGAAGGAATGGGAACACTTTAATTAGTCAATGTTTTATAAAATATAAGTGAAGAGCGGGGGAGAACTGATTATGGAAAGCTAATAATTGTTCCCATTAGAGGTATGATATTTAATTGAAAAGTAACGTGAAAAATCTTAAGACTTTAATGAATTTTAATATTAACGATAGAATTGAATTGGAATGGAATGTTTTAATTATATACATTTATAATTTTTTCTTTTTTTTAAGAATATTGTGTGTAGTTTAAGAATGTACCAAACAGAATCCGAATGGAAGCTATGTATTATATTGAGTGTTATAACTTTAGGGGAAAGATATAAAGGCGTCATACTCCAATCAGTAACTACAGGAGAAATTTTGTTTAATGAGAAAAGATAATAGACAATTGAAACAGGACAGACAAAAAATATAAATATAATGATTTGAATTCAGATGAAATAAATATAATAAAATTGAGGAAATTAAAAGAGGGAAGAAGCTATATAGAAAATGTAAAATTGTAATAAGATATGGAATAGAATATAAAAATGAGCATGAACCTGAAATTATGTCTGCACAAAGAAATGTAACCCGGGATTATGCTGCTTTCAAAAAAGATGTTTTAATTGTGTTTCTTTCCTTTTTGTGAAAACTCAAATAAAATTTACAAAAAAAAGAGAAAACTTTTATCCTAAGAGATGGAGGGCTCCCTTTGATTGGATATATGCAAGCAAAGATTGAATTGGTATTTGTCAGGGATGCTTTCACTTTGATTTGGGACTGAGCAGGGGCTTGGACTCAATGGCTTAAAAATTCACTTCCAATTATATTATTCTAATTCATTATTAAAACAAAATAAATTAAACCCTCATTTTCTTGTGCCAAATATAAAATGTTCCTGCTCTACAATATCTTTCATGTTTATAAAAACCAAAGCCCAAAAGCAAGTGTTTTGTTTTTGTAATTCTGATTACATGTTTCTCTCATTTCTGTTAGATTAAAGCTGCTTCTAAAGCCTATTCTCTTTACATTACTGCAGTGAAAAAATTATTTTTTAAAAAGAACAGTAAGTTGTAAAACACAGAATAAAGAATCCAGACAATTCAGTTCAGCAGTCATAATTCAAGAACTTCATAACATCTTCCAAATACAGCTATCTCAAGAAGCTAGTTTTTGCCCCAACCCATTAAAAAAAAATTAAAAACATTTTCTTTAAAAACAAATGCATTAATTAAAAAAGGCGACATTGTTGGTTTTTCAGGTTGCATAGAGCTTCACTCCATGATGGTTTTAAGTGCGACTTCAAGTAGCAATTATGTAAAGATGGACAGCAGTCATATGGCACACTGAGGTAATACAAAGTCTGTGCACAGGGAGAAGAAAACGGCTTTGATTTCCCACCTACCAGTAAGGTGGCTAGGAAGTGCTTCTTACAGAAAATTAAGATTTTTGTCCTTCGAAAAAAACCTGAAAAATTAGCCAGTTCCTTGTCTTTGTATTTTAGGCTTTAAACAGTAAACTGTAGTTGAGGGTCAGATAAGATAAGCACAGACTTACGAAAAAAATTCTGTTCTACACTGTAGTGTTTCCAGCATCTCAGAAGCAAGATAGTCAAGCAACCTGTCCGCCTACTGAGGAGACTGCCCCACACCCATGTTTTCCATAAAAAAAACTCTGATCAGGCAATCAGAAGCAGCCAAGTCAGTGCTATATAGCACAAGAAATGTGGATTACTGCCCTCTTGCAGTTCTAAGCTTTATCATTTGTTCTTCAAGTGGGTAAGTTCCTGACTCTTAGCCACTGTCTGCAATCTTTCAACAGCCAGTTTGGACTTCCAATCCAGGCTTTACAAGGCATCTTCCAAGAAAAATTAATAAAGAACTAGAAAAGATATTTTCGACAAGTTTCTGTGCCACATTTACACTCAATTCGCATCCGCTTCTTGGGTGAACAAGTCAGACTTCCCACAAGGCCAAAATTAGAATCCATCCTTGTGCTTTCTGCATTTACTGGATCCACTGTGGAAGATATTTATCTAGCATCAGATTTCATAAAAGATGTCTCTACATTTGATAACAAAGCTTATTCATTCATTGACTAAACCTGAAATAATTATGTTCCTTTAACTCTTAATATATTACTTTAAGAGACAAAACCAGAAGCAACTTGCACATGACATAGAAACAATCTTTTAGAGCAATGCTTCTCAATCTTTTCTTTACCACAAAGCCCCTTTAAATATCTTTTATAGCCACAGACCCCCAAACTTTAGCTAAAGATTTAAATCATAACATTTCAAGCCTTCGCAGATCCCCTGTGATGATATTGCAGCCCCCCATGGATCTGTGGACTACAGGTTAAGAACCACTATTTTAGAGAAAACAATAAGTCCAACCAGAATTTAGAATAGCTGAAAATAGGAACTTCTTTCATAAATCCTATCTCCTAAATCCACTATGGAAAATTGCAAGTTATCTCAAATTATCCCCAAATTTCTTCTTTCTTACCTTGCATATTATAGTCAAAGGTGAGCTCTTCCCCAACTCTGATAGATCGAGTAGCAAAGAAAGCAATGCGTGGCAGTCGTTCATCCAAATTTTCAATAAAAACATTGTACACCTGTAGATTGGGGTTGCACTGGAAGCAGAGAATGCAAGGTTGAGTGAAAATGAAAACAAATTTTGTCCTGAATATTATTGAGTACAAGGCTCCTTCATTAATTATTGCACTTACACTGTGATTAACAAAATGTGATATGTTGCCATAATAGGCAGCATCTACTGTGTATACATCTTCTACGTAGTCCAGATCAAATAGATAAGTGGCACCCTGTCGGTCATAGACCTGACCCCGTCTCTCAGCTTCCTCTGATGTGATAATCTGGAAATGATATGGAAGAAATAAAAATCTAAAGCCTATAAAATAAAAAGTCTACTTTTGCTTCTGAGTCTTATTGTATACTATTCCTCTACATTTTTTGATTTCTCGGTTTTTTCAGTTGCTTTGCTGTGCTGAATATATCCTAACACAGTCCAAATATGTTTGTGTTATCATTTTGATTAATGCAAAGACATGAAAATATTCCCAAATTCCCACAGAATATAAATTCTTTGTTTTGATCATCAAACTCTTAACAGTTCAAATGAAATGAATAAGTTATGCTGGACAGGTCTGTTGTGCTAGTTTCATCCACTCAAGTTTCTGTATGCCACAAATCCAGCAGGAAGCTCCAAAATATCTCCCAACTACTATTGAACTGCTCACCATGATCAGGTGTGCTTTCCACTACTAACATATCTGAGATAATTAGTTAATATTCAAGTATGCATAGCTTTATTTGTTGGTAATAGCTTCCCTAGTTAAAAAAGACCATGCCATTTAATGATGATCCTTAAACTATCTTACAAGTGTTTATACTAATATAAATACAAAATGCACATAATTAGCAATCTAATAGACAAAGGAAAGTTAAATGTTATAAATAGACTTGACAACAGAAAAAGGACCTCTTGACTTAAACAGATGCAACAGTTTTCAGATGGACAGCAAAAACATGACACAAAATGGGAAAGAGAATAAGACTTTACTGAGAAACTTTACTGGTAGATATATACCAAACCAATGTCTGGGTAACAAAGTATTGAACACAAGAACTGTGTATTAATTTTCCTTTTCTTTCCAATTAGTTAAACCATATAAATTATGAGATCAAATATCATTTTCCAGATGCATGTGAAACTGAAATTAAAAGATTACTCTTATATGTGATTGTCACGCTTGTTAAGCCATGGTTTAGCACAGTATGGATTCAGTCTGCTCTGAATAAAGAATTGTAATTATACAACTATTACCTATTTTTTACCTATATTATGAGCCTCTGTGGTGCAGTGGTTAGAGTGCAGTACTCAAGATACTTCTGCAGCCAGCTGCCTACAATTTGGCAGTTCAAATCCCACCAGGCTCAAGGTTGACTCAGCCTTCCATTCTTCCCAGGTGGGTAAAATGAGGACCCAGATTGTTGGGGGCAATATGATGACTCTGTAAACCACTTAGAGAGGGCTGTAAAGGACTATAATGCGGTATATAAGTCCAAGTGCTATTGCTATTGCTATTTATCTGGTATGATTTGGAGCAGATTCCATCTGGATTCTGAATCAACAAAATTTATGTATCATACTGGCTCAGCCTTACCTCTCCAACATATTCCATAACAAAACTGTGCTTGCGAATCTTCTCCAATGTACGTACACCCCAGCCACATCCATTATCTGTCCGGAAAATGCAAAGGTCATAACGAATGCCCCTCTGTACTACACGGTTTGGGCAATCAATACCACAGCTACAGCGAGAATTGCACTCATAGATGGGCATGCCAGCCTTGATCTTCACTTGGCCCAACTCATTATAGGCAAATTTATGGTGTGAAGCACCAGGACAGCATCCTCCTGCTGCTTCTGACAGACAGTCTGAACATTCACAGCCTACAGCCATCTGGTTGAGAGTGATACCCTCCCCAACTTTATATTCATTGATGTAGACAAAGTCCCGGGGAGGTCCATCCAAGTCCACCTCATTTTCTACCACAATTCGTCCCTTGTGGTTGCGCTTGGCATTAAGCTCATATTCCCAATGCTGCAAAGCTCGCCTCTGTTTGGCCTTCTGAACCAAATAACTAGAAATTCCTTGATCAAGTAAGCGCATATTCTTTTTGAGCTTGCCACCACGCCGGATGAATGCCTGTTCTAGGTCCCTGTGGAATTGCTTGAGTATACTGATACATCGCAAATTCTTTCGGGGCTCCCAGGTATTGTCTGAATCAGGATAGCCCCGCCACTTCACCAGGTAGAATTCCTCATCCTGAGTAAAATAACAGAGCAAACTGTTAAGTCTATAATATTACAATTTAAAGCCCAGAAAATAACATTTCCTATCATTTCTTCACTAAAACAAAAATCCCAAAATATAATCCAGGTTTACTACATATCATTTCCATCATCCCATTTTATCATTCCCAATTTCTTAAGGAAAAGAACACTGATTAAAAGGGAGAGAACAGAAAAAAGTATAAATTATGAAAATGTGAATACAGATACTCTGTCAACAGAGACCTGGAGAAGACTAGGTCATATAAAAGGAAATAAGATTAAAACTATTGGAAAATCCAAGGAACTCACCCCAATTTTCTTATAATCACATAGATATTCTACTTCAAAATCACTGAGGTTTTTTTTAGTAATGCCCAAGGAAGGGCAACACACCTTCTCCAATCGACAAAGATCCTGGAGATTGGACCAAGTTGACTTGCAACAAACAGTACACTCTATGGAGGATAACAGTAGACATTCACTGTTAAAATATAGGTTACTTTTAAAAAATATTAAGTGTTATCTGAATAGTCCTGCAAACATACCAACCAAAATAATTACGGGAAAGATTCCTTCTTTATATTTAGCCTGATACATATTACAAAGATATAGAGAATAGCAGAAATAATAAGTGACAATAATTTTTCAGTACCTAACAGTTTTTAAAATAGAAATGGGTTAAGAAACATCTAGACTTATTGGTAAATCCATTCATGTAATGATGATATGCAGTAAATTGGCTGTTTAGGATAATAAAAAAAAATGACTCCCAAATGACATAGACTGACATAAAAGCAATATGAGCTGTGTTCAATTCTAATGTAAGAACTAAATAATTAGAATCTAAGAATTTAAATTCACCTAGATTTTGTATTATTCAATTTCTAAATCTTAAAAGAGTTTTATTAAACAAAGTAAATCTTGCTAGGCTTATATTTGTAGATTGCTGCATTCGATTATTCACCTTTGAATTCACAGCAAATGTTGTATTTACTTATCCCAAAGGTGCTTTTTCAAGAGGCAACTGGACTTTCTTGTTTTTCTTTGAAGATTCTGTGTTTCTAATCCAAGCTTTTTCAGCTCTGACTGGACAGTGGGCAATGGAAAGATTTATAGTCCTTGCAAACAGCTGGTCATTTGCATTATTTTAGAAAGGCATTGAGATCACCTGGAGGTTTATCTGTCGTCAGGATGGGTGTTGAGCCTTCTTGGAACTGTTGAAAAGAACCATGTTGTAGACTGGTGATTCATAATGTTGTATCCCCCGCTCTGTTGAGAATGACATCATACGACATCATCTACCGGTATCTCCAACCTACAACACAGTCCTTTCAACAGATCCAAGAAGGCTCAACACCAATTTGCAATATTCAGGTGACCCTGACTAAACAGATAAACCTCCAGATGGCTTTAATGCCTCTCTGAAAGAATGCAAATGACCAGCTGTTTGCAAGGAGGATAAATCTTTCCATTCCCCTCCATCCAGTCAGAGCTGAAGAAGCTTCTTGGATGAGAAGTGAAACATCTTCAAAGAAAAACAAAGTCCTGATGAATAATAACTAAACTTTAGATGTCCAAGTCATTTTTCGTACATAACCTAACATATTTGAAAACTACAAAAAGAATTATTTCTCATTTTATAAAGACAGAACCTAAAATAAAAGCACATCTTTTTAGGGAACCTCTTTCAGAGAATTATTCTTTGTATTGTACATAAGTTTTCACAACCCACTGGAATTTCCAAAATGAGCTAATATCTTAGAAAGTCTGTCAAATAAAATAAGATAAACTTAAATAATTTTTGTGAAATTTCTTTTCAACACTCTAGTTCAAATTCAGCGTTCTAGAATTAGAATAACCAAGACATACATTTATCATACATTTATTATAAATTTATGAAATTTACAAAACCATCAAGCTGCTTTATTCAAATGCTGTTTTTCATTTAAAGAATCCTAATTCTTTTTACAAAGGAAATATCATTACATGAAGGGCTAGCACAACTTCAGATGGATAAAGGTGAGATTGGATTATAATTACCTCTAACACATTGTTATCTACTCCAAACTCTTGGGCAAGCTATAAAATGCAACAAATCTAAGCCTGGTAGTAATGCAACAAATCTAAGCCTGGTAGTGACAACTGCATTTTAAAGAACAATCTTGTGCCAGCAGCACGAACGTACATATATTGAAATGTAAGCAAGATGAGGTCATTTCACTCAACTATATCTATACTTACTAAGAGATGTCTCATCAACAGAATTCAATTCACATTTAACACAGTAAATACACACACACACATTTATTTTAAATATGTTTCTGCCACTGATTCCCCAAGACTTGAGCAGTTATCAGAAACATTGTAAGGAAAAATACTTCAATAAAAATAAATTCACTAAACAAAATAATTTTAAAAAGCTCAACAGCAACTTAAGGATTAAAAAAAAAGATTAAGTTATGTATCCACTAATTCATCTCAGCAGTGAAAACATGTCTTCATCCTGGGCAAGATAAAAAAGCCTTTTAAGCGCTAATTTGAAATCCATGAGGGAAAAAAATAAGACTAAATCTCCATAGAGAGGGAGTCCCAAAACATAAGGATGATTTTAAAAAACACACATCTCCCAGATGGCATTCTCAGAATTGCCATACTAAAATGATACATCAAACATAAGTTTATCAAGTGCATACTACCATATTTGTTGTTTCTGATAAAATGCATGAATATAAATTGAATAAAATGGTGTAAGAAAAATAAAATAATTATCATAAATCACTTAACATCCCCATGTGGTTTCAGTTCTAAGTCTACTCAACAGATAGATGTTGAGATTAGTGGCTCTTCAACCAACACATCCACAAGTCCAATCAGTGCTGCATAAATTAGTGTATTCATTTCTAAAACCCGAGTTTCATACAAAAATCAGATTTTTCGATGTCTTGTTCATTACGAATTTGAAAGTCATTCTGGAGTTCTTTCCAGCTGAAAAACAGGCTAAACATGCTTTAGGGAAAAGAGCATTAAGTCTGACAGGGCAGAAGCTTGAAATTATTATTGCCTCCAGTCACTTCGTTCTGTGAGGAAAACTTATTGCAAAACAAGTTTTGCTCCCGCAAAGCGAGGTGCTGCTCTTCGACAGGAAGGGAGCACTACGCGCAACAAGGTTGGTCTTAAGAAACGGAAAGCAGGGGATGACAAAAGGTGAAGGAAAACGCAGGAGCCAAGCCAGGAGAAAAGGGGGTTCTTTTTTTAAAAAAAACAAGGTAAGGAAATATTGCCGGAAATACAAGCAGGAAAATCACTATAGAAAGTCAACGTGGTGGAAAAACTTTCGCGGCGCGAGCCCGTGGGGTCCACGCTTCTCTCTCATAAATCCTTTTTCTCACCTCACCGCGCGATCATTTACCTCAACTCGCTCGCGGCGCGAGGCAACCGACTGGACGCGCCACATACCCCCGGCTCGCGGGATCTTTCCCCCCCTTCCCCCCCCCCCCCACTCCATAACGGTCGTTGCCGAATGCCGCTTCAGCCACGCGCCCACGAGGACGCGGCGGAGGCGGCCACAGGATGCTCCCCTTGCGGCAACTCCCGATTCCCGCTCGATTCCATTCTCGCCGCCTAGAGCCGCAACGCCCGGCGCGCTCTTGCTAGTTTCGCTCACCTTTTAAATTTTCCGCCATCTTAAACATTTTTTTTTATTTCCCTCCACCCACCGAGGCCGCCAGAAAGTTTTCATCTCACAAGAATGGGAGCTGGAGGCGGATCCAGGCAGCCTCCGAAGCTTCGCCTTTTGAGGAACGGGCCGTCGGACCAATGGGGAGCGCGGGGCCCCGCTTAGGCCCCACCCTACAAGGCCTTCCCTTGGTTTCCTTTCTGACTCGCTTCGCTTCCTCCCGCCGGGCATGAGGCTCTGGTTGCCGCTCGGCGCGAACGAAAAGTAAAACTTTGGCACCGCCTCCAGGCGCTTTTCAAAGCTGGAGCGTGTGGTAGCTTGGCCGTTTCGAAACGTTGGTCTCTACATCTTTTTCCTTTTCTCGCTCGCATTTAGGAGGAGATATGAAATAGAAATGGGGTACGAAAACTAAATATTCATATTGACACTTTTTTTTGTCTCCTGAGAAAGTTGCACCCGAGCACGAGGGTATCTAAAAGATGTAGAACATTTATGCATTTATGCTATAATAAGGAAATGGGGGGGGGGGACGGATTATGTTCACGTTACTGATCCTAATCGTTTATGAGACAGTTGTGTTTAAAATGCCAACCTTTGTTCCTGATTACATTTTCTTTTTGCCATAGAGCCATGGAAAAACCATGAATTTAGAAGACACCGGCTGGAGAAATTTTGCAGCTAGAGAGAGACCCCACTTAATTTAATTAAGCATTGTACTGCTGAATTTCAATAGGCACTGTGTAATAAATGTTGTATAGTTGGTTGTGGTTGCCTACATTTTTTCCTTCTTTACAATCATTAAATATTTTATAACCATTTGTTTTTAAAAGTTACAATTTTTTTTCTGTAGTACTTTTCTCGGTTTCAGCTCAACTAATGAAAGGTACGTAACCAAAATGATTAAGTACGAAAATTTATTAGACCCACAAGGAAAGCTGAAAACACGACAAGAATTACAAGAGCGAGGATTTATAATTGATCAGTGGATGTACCTTCAAATTCATAGTAAATACAAACAAGACATTAAGGAATTTGGAATCTACAATAAATTACAGACTCTAGACAAAATTCTATTAGGACCGAGTAAAAAAAATATATCTAAATTTTACAAACATTTATTAGAAACAGAACTAGAACAAGAAATTGTCAAAGGAAATATGATTGCGTGGAGCAGAAACGTGGGTCGGAGCATTACCCAAGCAGAATGGGAAAAGATCTGGAACAGGAACATTAAGATCACGAAATCAGCAGCTTATAAAGAAAACTTATATAAAATGTTTTATAGATGGCACCTGCCCCCTTCGAGATTGGCGAAGATGCACCCCAACATGAGCCCCAAATGTTGGAAATGTCAAAACATAGAAGGTACCTTCTTCCACATGTGGTGGTCATGCAAGGAAACTCAGAAGTACTGGCAAAAAATTAGGCACTGGCTAGAGGAATTAACCATGGAACAAATTGAGTACAAACCAGAGTTCTTCCTTCTAGGAATTTTTGATAAACAAATATCCAAAAAATCGAAGTATATTACAATCCATATCTTAACCGCGGCCAGACTGGCATTTGCCCAGTGCTGGAAACTACCCTCTATCCCCACTGAACTTATGGTTATTCAGAAAATTTTACAATGCGTTGAAATGGACAAACTAACCCAAGCATTAAAAAATAAAGAATCCTCAACCTATTATAGCAATTGGAATCCTTTGTATATTTGGCTAAACCAAAGATAATCACCTCTAAGAAAATTAAGGCCGAGGCCCCCGAAGCAGAGATAAAGAAAAGCACCGCCGACGATAGTTCTGAAGAAGAAAGGACCTTACAGACAGTCACAAAAATATGGTTTTATTATAATTGTTTTCCCTACTCTTTCCCCCCCTTCCCTTACCTTTCCCTCTTTCCTCTCTCAAGCCTTCCTCTCTTTCCCTCTTGGCCTATGCCAAGACCTGTTTGTCTTTTTGTTGTATATAATTTGTAGCTGTGTTGTTGTTTTTTTAAAAGTAAAATTAATAAAGTTTTTTCTAAAAAAAGAAAAAGAAAGGTACGCATTGCTGATCAATACAGTTTTCCCTAATATAAACAGAGATCTAATCAAATTGTGTTTTGTTACTAAAGATAATACTTGGTCACGACCAAAAGTTGTTTGGTAGCAACTTGATTCCAGAAAGTTTTCTCAGCTTAGCAAAATAATATTGTAGGCAGAAAGCACCAAATAAAATATTCTGTATAGAGAAACGTTTACGCTATTCAGGTAGTCCTTAACCTACAACCACAATTGAGTCCAAAAGTTTTGTTGCTAAGCAAGGCAGTTAAGTGAATTTTGCCCATTTTATAACCTTTCTTGCCACAGTTAATTAAATTACTGCAGTTAAATTGGTGTAACAGTTGTTTAGTGTATCTGACCTCATTATTGACTTTGTCAGAAGGTTGCAAAAGGTGATCATATGACCTTGAGACAGTGCAACAGTCATAAATATGAACCAGTTGCCAAGTGTCTGAATTTTGATCATGTGACCATGGGGAAGCTGTAACAGTCATAAATGAAAAAGTCATAAGTCACTTTTTCAGTGCCTTTATAACTTTGAATGGTCACTAAATGAAGTGTTGAAAGTCGAGGACTATCTGTAAATGCACACTTCACATTCACAAGGGCTTCTCTAAATCTTCTATTTTATAACCCAAATTGTTGGATTTTGAGCAGTTATCATTTTTTTTCATGAAATATTGTTAACAATTTCAAAGACAATGGGCAGGATATATTTAACTTCTTGGGCAGTATACCCAATTGGCTTCTTTACCAGCTTTGGGGGTAGATGGTAGAACCGTAATAGAATCCCATATACCATATTTTTTGTATTATAAGACGAATACTAGCTTTAGAGGAGAAAAACAAGGAAAGAAAAATCTTCTACCTCTCAGCATCCACCCGGTATTCATCTGGCTCACATTCTTGCAGCAAACAGCCTGGTCAGTTTCAGCATGTTATCGCAGTCCCAACACATGGCTCCTCAGGGCTCCGCTCCGTTGACCCATCACCAGTCAACTGAGCTGAGTTGCTGTCATCGCAGGGAACACTGGAGCCTTCGCTGCTGGGCAGCCGATTGGCAGTTGGATCGGCCTTCCGGAATACCACTGATCAGCTGTTCTAGGTGGCAGTGACCATCGCCTATTGCCGCCCATTCACCGCCAATCAGCAGCAAAGGCTCCAATGTTCCTCCATTGGTGGCCACACACCAACCCCCTCCCCGCACGGCAATATGTGCTCTATAAGATGCACAAACATTTCCACCACTTTGGGTGGGGGAGAAAAGTGTGTTATAGTGTGTGTGTGTGTGTATGTATGTATGTATATATATGTTTTCTTAAGTTTTCGCGGGTACTTACATGTATGGCATTCAGCTTTGTTCGGGTATTTTCCCACGTCATCATAGTTGTGCTTTTAAAGTTGGAGCGACGTTTCAGCAGAATCTCATCTGCCATCAGATGAACACTATACAGAAGCCTGATGATGGCAGATGAGATTCTGCTGAAACGTTGCTACAACTTTAAAAGCACAACTACAATGACGTGGGAAAATACCCGAACAAAGCTGAATACCATACATGTAAGTACCCACAAAAACTTAAGAAAACATATATATATATATATATATATGTATACTATGTATATATGTGTATTCAGATAACCAAATCATCACCGCAATTATCTGCATCACAATCCATGTTTGTTACTAAAAGTTTGTGAAATAGTCTGATTTCCCCATCCTTCATCTCTTCAGATAATTATGAAATCTTAATTTGTCCCACCCAGTTTGGTCTCATGAGTGCAAAGATCCATTTTTAAATTGTCTTAACCGACACTGAACTGGGAGTAAAATATTTGCTGGTAACTCATTTTCAATTGGTCAGAACAATCTTGCTCCATTCTTCCGTTACTATTTGATCTTTGGGTTGTTATTTCTAACTCCTTGTGTTTATCTCCTTGATCCAACTACACATTGCAAAATTGGGTGGTTATCTTTACCATTCAATGTTAGAACTGCATGATTTTCTAAATTGTAAAAAATTAGGAATAAATTTCTATAGTCTCAACAGCTGTCTGGAAGAATTCAGCACTCTGAGACTAATGCCACATGACAAGTAGAAAAAATGGAATCCTGTTGTAAATCAATCTTCAAAGATTTTTGTTATATTAGGTTGAAAAGAGACAGTTCTTTACAACTTAAAAACTGAGGTATCTCTCCAAAGATTTAAGTTGTGATGTATTTGAATTGAAAAAATGGATCTTGTGATGGTTGTTTACATTGTCTAAATAGTCTCCATGATGCCTAAATTTCAAAAATTGAATCTGAAGTTACTCTGGGGAGCCAGACAAGGGGTCAGCAACAGAGCACCCCAGTGCCTTAAATAGTATCCAAACTCTTCTACAATTAAACTATTTTTAAATGGCCAAAATCTTATATCGGAAGAGAATATCATGAAATTTGATAATTTAATTTCAGCCAATATTTTAAAAAGTAGTTGACTCAAATTAAGTTTAGAATGAATTTTTATTTTTAATCTAATAAACATATCCATATAAAAGTACATTTCCTTTTCCTGAAGAGTACATGAAATGAGGTTTTCCCATCTTCTCTTATTCTCAGTCAATAGCCCCCATTCCAAAAGTGCTACCATTCAGATAACAGTTTCTATAACCTCAAGTAGTACAGCAAAATTATTCTGTGTGTGCTAATTTGAATGCAGGAGTAGCTGGAAAACCACTAAGATATGACCTCAGAATGATGGTCTAAGGAGAAAAATGACAAATCACTCCTTCTTTTGGGAATAAAAGAATATATCAGAATCAAATCCATTGAAAATGCCATAATTTCCAGTACATGTGTGACATGCATGTATGTGTGTATATATGTATGCATATATGTATATATCAGTTCATGCTGGTAAATAAAGCAAATGTTTGTTGTAAAGAATAGAAGTCAGTTCCCCCTTCTAGTGCCAATGCATTCTTTTGAAAGATGAGCAAACAATTTAAATAATTAAAGTTTCAGTATGAGTTAACAACATTCAAAGGATTTTATATCAAAAAAATAAGAACTTGCTTACATTCTTGTCATTCACATGCCTGCATTTGGGCTTCAAAAGTTCGTGGGGGAAACACAATTAGGTAAGCAAAAGAAAGGTTCAAGAAAGGGTTGGCTGAAAGATAATATAACCCTTAGAAAAATATGCAGGAGATTATGAATGGTCAAAATTGGAGGGCTCAAAGAGATAGAATTACAACCTTACTTTCTAAAACAGTCAAAGGCATCCAGGTGCACAGGTGAGGGAGGAGAATATGCTTAGGCCTAAGTGATTTTGAAAAGGAGGATGGGAAAATAACCCCTTTGCTACCCTCATTGAAGCAGACTTCCTCTGCCTTATTCCAGAAGTATCTGCAGAGATGGGGAGGGAAGAATTATGGAAGAGTCATCATCCGATTAAATGCCTCTGGCAACAGGCTGAAAGAAGGATCAAAACTTGGTGTCAGGTGCATTTCTAGGCTCAGTCATCCCATTCATCGTCTTCATCTTCATCACCATTGTCTTCATCTTCATCTATGAATAAAGTAGAATAGGAAAATGCAGTAGAACAG